AGATGAGATGTGTAGATTCCATTGATTTACAGCAATAAGAAGAACATATAGTCTTACTATCATAGAAATAACTCCTAAATCGATCAGATGACACAATTACTCCACATTAAGGGAAATAATTGGCTACGTGTCATCTGACAACAACAGATGTTCCAGCAGAGGAACATCATGAAGGAGAAGTACACACACACACACACACACACACACACACACACACACACACACACACACACACGCACACACACAAGCTAATGTCACACTGAGCTAATGTCACACACCAATAATACCAGATTCGGTCCAGGCCTGTCAACCATCAACGGGCCAGAACCTGTTTTAGTGCTGGTTGGCAATAAACCTGGTGCCAGAATAGGGCCATTTAAGGGGATTTAAGTAGAAGTGCGTCTCTAGTGGTGGAAATTATAATACAAGTACAAATGTTTAGTCTAGAATTGTGGTTTGTGTGTTATTAGATATTAGTTATTACATTAGCATGTTAGATGAAGTGAATGCAATATGAATCAAACACAACGTATAGTCATGTAAATCATATAAACTCTGTACACATTAACATTCTGTCACAATCTAATGTTAAAAACTGGGGACGGATGCTAATTGCCGTCCTTTATGAATGTCTCCCAATTTTATCCCCAAAGAGGGTTTTTTGGGAGTTTTTTCTCCTGTCAGGTAGTAGATGAGCAACTGAATGTAAAACAGCCGATTGAGGCAAATGTCTTGAGAATTTGACCACATTAACTGTTTTAGATCTTATGATGAAGTGTGATGAACTATGATCATTTATGATGTGTTGTAATTAAATCCTTGTACGCCCAAAGCGAGAGCTGTGTTCGGGTGCTCGGCAGTAAGTCGAAGGCGTTTCCGGTGGGGGTTGGCCTTCGCCAGGGCTGCGCCTTGTCACCAATCTTGTTTGTGGTTTTCATGGACAGGATATTGAGGCGTAGTCGGGGGGAGGAGGGTCTACAGTTCGGGGGGCTGCGGATCACATCGCTTCTTTTTGCAGATGATGTGGTCCTGATGGCATCTTCCGTCTGTGACCTCCAACTCTCACTGGAGCGTTTCGCAGTCGAGTGTGAAGCGGTCGGGATGAGGATTAGCACCTCTAAATCTGAGGCCATGGTTCTCAGCAGGAAACCGATGGATTGCCTACTCCAGGTAGGGAATGTGTCCTTACCCCAAGTGAAGGAGTTCAAGTACCTCGGGGTCTTGTTCACGAGTGAGGGGAAGATGGAGTGTGAGTTTGGCTGGAGAATCGGAGCAGCGAGGGCGGTATTGCACTCGCTTTACCGCACCGTTGTGACGAAAAGAGAGCTGAGCCGGGAAGGCAAAGCTCTCGATCTACCGGTCAATCTTCGTTCCTACCCTCACCTATGGTCATGAAGGATGGGTCATGACCGAAAGAACTAGGTCACGGGTACAAGCGGCCGAAATGGATTTCCTCAGGAGAGTGGCTGGCGTCTCCCTTAGGGATAGGGTGAGAAGCTCAGCCATTCGCGAGGAGCTCGGAGTAGAGCCGCTGCTCCTTTGCGTCGAAAGGAGCCAGTTGAGGTGGTTTGGGCATCTGGTGAGGATGCCCCCTGGGCGCCTCCCTAGGGAGGTGTTTCAGGCACGGCCAGCTGGGAAGAGGCCCCGGGGAAGACCCAGGACTAGGTGGAGAGATTATATCTCTGCACTGGCCTGGGAACGCCTTGGGATCCCCCAGTCAGAGCTGGTAGATGTGGCCCGGGAAAGGGAAGTTTGGGGTCCCCTGCTGGAGCTGTTGCCCCCGCGACCCGACCCCGGATAAGCGGTTGAAGATGGATGGATGGATGGATATAGATTGATATTTCTAACATATTTTCATTATATACCTACTTATTAGCCACTGACAAAACAGCCATGAGATCTGCTGTTTGCATGCTTTCTTTAAACCTTGCAATAGCTATAGCTCCTCAACCAAACATCAAATGTGGTAAAAATGTCAGATCACCTTATTTACCGTAAAAGCAGGTTAGTTTTCAGTGATTCTTGCTTTACAAGTGTCTCACTAGGTTCTACAGCTGCAGAGACAGGAAGCAATTGAGCTGAACTCTGGTAAAAGACATTTCAGAATAAAATGTTGAGGTTCAACTTTGGGCCTTTAAGATAATTTGGTTTGATTTGCACCACATGGTTCATTTCATTGGAATGAGCTCCCATTATAAAACGAGCATTTTCACTGTCAGAAAATGTAGATGGTTGTGTTGTAAATATGTTTTATATGTTTATATGTATATCAAGCCAACAATGTCAGCAAAATGTTTGTGGTAAGAGGACGGTCTGGCAAAAGCACAAATGGACATATGAAGTATCTTCAATTTCTATCAACTACGCAACATCC